TTATACAATTAATAATAATTTTGTAAATTAAAACATCTATAAACATGATTATTAAAAATCAATTTATATAGCTAGATGCATATTGAATTGGAGAACAATTGCAATAAAAAAGCCAATAAAATTATTTTGACAAATAAAAAAAAGTAATAATAATTACTTAAAACTACAAGTCAAGCTGTTTTTGCATGGCACAAGGTACATAGTTCAATCAGAAATTAATTTTCTCTCACAACGCCTCTCTTACGGCTCTGTTTTCTTGTGAAAATTTAGAGATAAACGCAATATCATTCAAGCACCAATATCATTTCGCAAAACAGAAGATTCTCATCTAATTCGCGTCGAATTTCGTCGGTGCGGGGCCACGAAATTCTCACCGAGCAGCACGATAATAAAACGATTTTGATGGCACAGCCGCCATTCAATTTGGAAACAGGCGTAATTAATATTTACAACCTTGAACCGCGGTGCGTCTCGAGACGTTGGTATATAATCGAAATTCGAAGGAAGTGAGAAGTGTTTCGAGCACGACGGCGCAAAGGAAGAGAGACTTGGTAATGAGGCCCATTATAGCGCGCGCTGTACTGCGCTCGTCGTCTCGGCAACTCGCCTCACCTGCCCTGTAATTCACCAAAAGTCGTCTCTCTGCTTCAGGCAGCGCTCTCGTTACTCTTTGGGAAGTGCGAAATGTCAAAGTCACTTTTCATTTGAACACCTTTCTCTCATCATGGTTTTCAAAATTATGCACGTGCATGTGTGTTGGAGCAAAATTAAATTTGGCACAAACTTTTACACACATCTTTCTTTTCCAAAAGGTATGATGTGTTGCTCGCAAAAATGGAAATGTAAAAAATATTTTTAAATTATAATTTATCTAAAAAATCCAGTTCTTTTACTAATTAAAGCAAAATATCACTGAAATTATTTTCTTGAATTAATATTTTTAAATGATTTGCAGTATTTAATTAATTTTCCCTGCGATGGACGAGAAATATGTTTTTGAACTTTTTCTCTTTCCTGCGCTCTTTTCATATCTCTGTGCGTTTTCTCCGCCAAATTTCTTGCTCTGCATTGTATGGCAATAGAATATTATTGTGCAAAATTGTGAAGGAAACGAGCATTTCTTTGTGTACCTTTCTCGGCTACGCGGTGATCACGGTTTCCTGTGCTTTGCGTGCTGTTGGCACTTTAAAAAGTTCATTATACCTTGTTCCCGACAACAGCTCGATCGTCAAGGTATTCTATCTTACATACACAGTTATAAATACTACTTGCAAACTTATGAATTTTATCATTTATTGGGAGCATTCATTGTGCGGAACAACTGTGGAACGCATAAACACTTTTTTACTAGCAACTTTATCATTAGATAAAAAAAATTTATAGAACAAAAACTTCGGTAACCAGAATCACGGCGGCGGATGGGGTCTTTTTGATCTTAGAAGTTTTAGCGAAATTCTTACTGGTGCATGGTGGTGCCGTTTTGTCCGCAACAATCCTTTTTTTTTAATAAAATGTTTTCAATAATCAAATGTAAACAATGTAACATTGTGGACAAATATTAAAATAAGAATACAAATATTTTTTTCTTTTTGAAAAGTTAAAATATGATGGTTTTTAAAATATTTTATAAAATAAAGAATTCTTTTCAATAACCTTTTTCTGGTTTTGTTGCATCTAGCTTTGTATTTTAAAAAGTTAAAGAAGATGGATTTATGAAGAGTTAAAACGGGGCTTTTAAACTCTTCTTGAAATAATTTAATTAATTACAAAAGGACAGCCAAATAGGCTCTTTGAGGTCAGTTGTACTTTTATTTTATATTTGCAAGGTTATATTGGGTTTCAATTTTTTTTTTTTATTGTTCTTGAATAATTTTGTTGCATCACCTTGATTTCATTTCCCTCAACAGCTTTAGTGGTTTTATGATGATTATATTTATATATTTGGTCAAGCCCGTTTCAGGCTTACTTTTTTTACATTGAAGGATTTATTTTCATGTTGTATAAAATAGTGAAAAATCGAGTGCTTGTATTTTACTATGCAATGCATGCATTATGTTATCAGTAGCAATTTTTGCCCAAGTTGAGCGTTCACTCAGTGCATAATTTTGCAATATATTCAGCGCCAACTTACCTCCGGAGCTGCTCCAAGAGCTGCTGCGCTGCTCTTTAGCCTGGAGGTTGTGCAGGTCCTGTATTAGTTCAGCACGTAGGAGCGCATGTGATATATTATCGCATGTGCAAGCCCTCTACCCAAGCTTTAATAACTTACAACGACAGCTGTTATGGATCTTTTGTTTATTACCCCATCAGCTGCCTATAGCTGCTTTGAATCGAGAATGCAGAGAGAGAGAAAATGAGACGAAACAAACACGCAGAGAAACGTGGTGACATACAATAATTATGATTTGAAAATAGCAATCTGGAATCATTTAATTTAAATATATACATTTTTTGTTAACACGATTTAGTATTTTAAGAAAATCCATCTCATTTTATTTCTTCCAAGGAGATGATTCAACAATAAAAAGGAACCGGCAAAGAATTTTTGCAGATATTGACACTTTTCCACTTAAATTTTCGCAGTGGTTTAGTGCAAGTCTTTCTCGGTTTGTTTTCGTTATGCAAATGAAACGGTAAAGCATCCCTTGTATATAATTGTCTGTCTAGACGCAGAGTCATCTCGAGCACATCCCCTGGCTGCTATTGTGCGAACAAAGAAAAGGACGACGCTCGAATTAATATGCGCGAATGTGAGAGAGACATGCAGTGCGGTATAGCAGCTTTTATTTCACCCTTTTCCGGCAAAACTTTACACTCGACTCGGAAATTCTGCGGAAAGTAAAAGTGCTTTGAAGGAGGCTTAAATGGCGCCTCATTAAGACCCATTAATCATATCCACCGTGCGCGCAGCAGTAATTAATGATGCTCATCATCAGCACATTAAGTAGCCTCTCTCAGCAGAGCCTAACTCTCTGCTGCGCCTTCGGCTCAAAACTGCCGAGGAAGAGAACATACTTCTCGCATAAACTGCATAATATTAGCAAATTTTCATCTATATACCTCAATCTCGGATCATCAGTCAATTTTAAATTTTAAAACACTAAAAACCTCCAAAAGTATTTTGCAATTTATCGGGAACAATAATGTATAAGTTTTCAACTCCAGAATCCTCAATCTTTAAAGAATATCATTTGATCATGTGACTCATGGTAAAATATAAAAAATTAATAATATTAAAAAAAAATGAACATTGAGCCTCCGCCTCTCAAAGCAGCTTTATTCCCCATTCTGCTAATAAGCTGGGTAGATTCTATAAGTAAAATATAAAAGTAAATTTTAAAACAAAGGTATGGAAACACTTTCCATTGAAAATTAATATTAAAAAAATTAACATAAATTTCGCACAATGAAGCCATATAAATTATATAAATGCAATATATAAGAATTTAAATATAATGAAATTAATTATTTTGTTGCAATTTTGATAAATACTAGCAATTCAAATTCAAGGCTATATGAAAAAAGATTTTGCAAAAAGAAATTTATATAAAGTTAGAGTCATGAAATAATACTGTATAGTTGGATCGAAAAATATCATTCAATATTTTAGTTAGCAAAATTTAAATTGAAGTCTATCAACAATAATTTAATTGAATATTTATTATTGAAAAAACAGAAAAACATCTATGAAAAAATCGAAATAATTGTCACATCTAGAAGCACAAATTTACATAATTTAATTTTTTCTGCATTAATTCTTAACCTGGAAAACATCCAAATGAAGGTGTACAGCAGCTTATATGTACTTGTGGTTTTAAAACTACGCCCAAAGAAATGCGCGCAGGGCGTTTTCGGATTTAAAAGGAGTGGCGCTTTCCAAACTTTTCCCTAACCGAGAGAGCGCGCAGCAATTTTAAGTGGATGCTCAGAGCAAAGCCCGTTGGGATTAATACTTGCTCCAACTTGCTTGTCCGCCTCAAGCAACAACTTTCAGATAAATTTCGCCGCGCATCCCCTTTTGTTTTTAGCATGCGCGCTTATTTTCTTTGGCGTCGTCCAGCTAATCGCAGAGTGCTGCTGCCGGCGGGGTGCTGACTGCTGTTTGCGCCACTGAAACATCCCAACAACTATTTTCCACTCGGCGTGCAATTCAATTAGCCCAACTTGTGTATATTTTTTTGCTTCGCAACAAAGCTCCAGCAGCAGCAGCAGAGAGAGAAAAGGGCTGACAAAGTACATAGCCTGCCTTTTGGTTTGCTTCGGCAACTGCAGGAAAAAAGAAACAAAAAAAGGTTCAGTAATTTTCATCTGCGTTTAGATGTCTCTGTTAAAGAGATGTTTTTAAAAATAAAATTAGAATAAATTGCACTTTCAATTCAGCGTATAAAAAAATCGAGGCTTTCAAAAAATCCTGAGAGGCACTTCATTTTTCCATTATAAAATTCACGGTAAAGTTGAAAAGTAAAACTGAAATTAAATTTTTATACTATCATCAAAAAATTTTATTTCTTGCCAAATATAAGTTAAAAAATAAAAATTTTATTTTGTTTGTCATTTTCTATATTTTTCGGCAGTCTTCCTTTAAAAAGAGATCAAATTTATTATTATATTTACTCTTCCGTAAATTCACATTATATATTTTTATATCTGCGCCTTTGATTGTTAAACCTTCAAATGCTGAGTCAGGGACTCGAATTAAGAGCAAGATTTATTGGACGTTTCCGCAGACAAATATTTTTAGAAACGCAACGCTCAGGTGCGCTCTCAATAACACCCAAGTTTCTGGTCCATTCATGCGTTTCGGAGTCTTTTGTCGATCACCTGTGAAAATAGGCTGAGGAATTTTTGGCAGCTCCGGGGAGAAACACAATTCACGCGTATATTTATTCAATCCATGAATGGAAAAAACGCGCGGCAGGCGAAGGCGATTGATCCTTTTCAAAGGGAGTTGCCTGGCACCTCAGGGCTCAGGGCGGACAAAGTATACATTTAACGTTTACCTGCGAGATGTTGCTCTCGAGGATCCTCTCGCCGGCAAGGTTAGATTTTTTGAGCAAGAAGGAGAGGTTGATGGCTTCAGGTAAATTTCAAATATACGCCCACTTCCTCTCATCAGACCCTGGCTGGTAGTAAATGACCAGAGAGGAGCCCGCGTGTCTGGAAAAAAAAGAATCATTTTCGTGTGTGCGTGATGCCACAAAAAAGAAACAATGTGAATATGAGGAGATTTTAATCTTTTGGGAAATTGGAATGGAACAAGACGAGACCGTGCTTTTTGAGGAAAAATTACTATATGAACTCTCGGTTAGGACGGACATGAATTAGTTTGAAAGGTACATAAAATAAGACGTGCTCAACCTGCTTATATATTTCATGAAGCAAGGGGCTAAACTAAATTAACTTAAGCTCATACAGAGGGTAGTGTGGTTTAATTAATCTAACTATTTTTATTCTTTATCGTATAGCGTATCGAAAACTCTTAATTCAAATTACAAGTACACCAGATCCAGTGCTATATTAAAATTAAATTTATGTTCATATTTCATTGTACACACAGAATTTATAAATATATTATAATGTAAACCTCATTATTACAAAATGTAATGATATAAATTTTGACCTAAATGATTCATTAGAAAATATTTTATAATAATTAAAATAAATAATATTAATTAAGTAAATACTTAAATATTACTTTATAAAAGGAGATTTTTTTTTTAATTTTTAATAAAACAAAACACACACAATTTTATTATGACAAATAATATCTTTTATGGCTTTAATTGAAGTGTTACTTTAGTGCTTTACAATTTGCAAATACCCATAGCACATTATCAGCAAAGAAGCTTGCGCAGTGAATGAAGCCGAGCATTTTGCTTTTCACGTCTATAGAGCTTATAACGATATGAGCGCCATTATATGATTTAATTACACCTTTGTTCTTCCCCTCTTGTTTACTTTCAAGATTAATTTCCTCGTAATAAGGCTACCTGGTCGATTGTCCGCGGAGAAGAATGTTAAGCCTGGGCCGGCGAGCTTGGAAGAGATCGAGCCGGGTTTCTCATAATCGTGCCCCGTGGCGTGGGAGGAGCAAAATGTATACCGACGAGCAGACCTGTCTGAATGGTCGGGGAATATTAATTATGCCAATGCTTCTCTCGACCGAAAGGCAGCACTAACACGGGCGGCCAGAATAAATATAAAAACTGGTTTTGTTTATTTTATCCTCCCATAGGAGCAGCATTAGAGTTTCAGGCCCCAGAGTGCGCGCGGAGCTTAAGCGATGATGACCGGCGCTGCATGATAAATTACGCTGCCACAAAAAATGTAGTAATAATTTTTATAATCGCATCGCGCTGCTCCAGCGTATATGTATAAAAAAACCTTCAAAGTTTTGTTTATGGAAGGCTCGACTCCGCGGCGCTTGTATGTGATGGTCATGATATTGCGTTGTGCGATTAAATTTCGTGCGTTGGGAATTTTTCGTGCAATTAACCACGCTGGGCTCGTGATTTTTTAATAAAACACGAGCGATAGCATAGGCGGCTGAAATAACGCTTGTTTACTTTTCCCGACAGCAAAATCGTCAGCTTTTGTTATAAAAATTAGCTGCCTTTGAAAAGGAATAGACTTTAAGGATGCATAGCCCCCTCCACAAAGAAAAGGTGTAGCTCCGTGCTAAGAGGGAAATGAGTAATTTTTCCGTGGGTCGCTTTTGCTTTTTCACACCCCGCCTGCAGTACAAATAAACGTGCACAGCAATAAAAAAATCTATCCGCCAAACAACCTTCAAGGTAGGCATAAGACGTTGCATGAAAATTTTTATATGTATAGACTCTATTGGTGCGTATACGCAAGTTTTTTAACAAGTAAATGTTTTTATTAAAAGATGTCCAAATTGTACTCACAAAATTTTTATTTTAGTATTTCATACATTATAAAAAAAATGGAAAAATTTATGAGTACGGTTTTGATCAAAGTTTACGGTTTTTATATATTTAAAAAAAAAACCACAAGCAATATTTTATCCTTCCCTCATTTTTTAAATGAATGTTGAGCCCCAGAGGCCATGAAATCTCGTTTCGCGTTATATTATGTGAAATTTCGCTTTCATCTCGAATCCACCCCTCGCCGAAGCAGAGAACAATGCAGGAGCTCAATAAGTGCGCGCGAGATATTATATCTCTCTTGAGCAACTAACAGCATCACTTCCTTTGGAGGAGCTAGCGCTGCAGAGACTTATGAGAGAGAGAAATTCACCCCCGTTCGCAAAATCCACCCCTCGCCAGCAACACGCGCGCGTGACTTTCACTTTCACCCTTGACAATATCTCCATTAAATCTGCTGATAATAATCAAATAAACCTGCTCAAAAAGCCGGCAGCAGCGTGCGGTGCGAGACGTTGCTACAATAATTTCTCAAAAGCTTCCTTAGCAGAACTACCGCGGGGCGCTGATAGGGCATGGGGCATATAGAGCGAGCAAACCAAGCAAGAACTTGTAGACGCGGGTTGGAAAATATTTTGCGCAGAGGGAAGGAGACGCAAGCACCACTTGAACGTTTAATAACGCAGACGCAGCAATATCAGATTCAGGAAGAATTATTTCCCAGTCTATGACATTCTTATGGTTAATCATTGTGAAATCATTGATTGTTAACTATCATAAAAATAGAAAACGATTATTGGAATTTATTACTGAACAATAAAATAAGATTTGCTCAAACACTTATTTGTTTTTGTGGTTATAAAAAAAAAAAACATTCTCAAAATGTTTTTTTTTTACCTGAATCATTATATTTGGAATGAAATATAGTTTTATTTTTAAAATTTCTTAAATACTAAAATTATAAATTATTAATTTAAAATTATAAAAAGAGTTAGAAAAGAAATTGGACTAAATTATTTGTCATTCTTCTTTTATTTAAATAAAAAAATTAAAAACAATGTCGATGATGTGTGATGTTTCATGCCTGGAAGCACAAAAAAAAAGAAAAAAAAATCAGTGAACGTGTAGAGCTTGAATTTCCGCGACTTCAAGTGATGCGAATTTCTCGGAGCGCGATTTCCTCAACTGCTGGCTCAAAAACCGAGGGCGAAATCTTGCTGGCAGCGCTGCCTTGCGCGTGGTCCTCGTTTGCATAATTATGTCAGAAAAAGCGGTGACGGCGGCGGCTCCTCGGCAACCCCCAGTCCTCATCCACTCTCCACCCATCATCCCCTAGCTGAGAGAACTGCGCGCTCTGGTTTTATGCTCGGCGCGCTCCAATACAGAAAATATATATGAGTCATACAGGGTGGAATAAATACTCGCGCGCGCATGGAGACGTCTATTTCGCAGCGGAGCGAGCAAATTGTCGGAAAGATGAACCAAATCGTTCGAGAGAGATGAACCTTTATAGATGCTGGGGGAGGCGAATTTTTTCATCCATATTCCTCCTCTCCACCGCTTCTCGGCTTTCAAAGAAGATTCCGTGCACACTTTATCTTCTGGATGCAGGGTTAGATTTTTGCGCATCATCTTTCACGGGATTTAGTGACATTGCTTCTCTGCTCGCAGAGTTAGTTTTTAATGGATTTGCGTCGTTTATTTTCAATGTTCCTCTTCTATCCGCCAAGCTGATGCCGATTCCACCAACTTTGTCATTTCGTGCGAGCGCGGGGGAGGAAAAGCACTTACCGAGAGGTTTTATGCGCGCAGGAAATAAATTTGTGGCTTTGAAATCAGGGAATATGATTTGCCCCCAAAGTTTTCTGTACTCTGCGCGATGCGGTTTAATCTCGAGACCATCCCTCAGCCCTCGACTATATATAAAAAGTATTAGAATTTAGATCCCATCAAACGAAAGTTTGAGAAGAATATAATTTGGACGGGGTGGAGCGTGGAGCGATTTCCGCTGCATGTTATTAAATTTTTTATTGGCAGCAGAGATATATAAAAATTGAAATCTGAATTGCGATGCAATCTTTTATTACAGAAAATCATACTGCATTTAATATTTTAATTTTTTTTTTACAAATTAATATTTCTTTTCTACGACCAATATTTATTTTCTTCTGCTTATACCACGTTTTGAATAGTGCGAACCCTCTACAAAAACGGGATTTTATACTTTTTTTCATAGCATTAATCATTAATTCTTTGAAATGTACATTAAATTTAACATTATAATAAATCACAATTAATCTCTTGCTATTTTAAACTTCAACTTTTGTACACTTTTGTAAAATAATTTATATTTTCTGGAAAGTAATTATAAATCAAAATATTTCCAATATCTTATTTTGCAGAATATTAAGTTACAAATATTAGAAAATTAAAGTAAATTTGACAGAAAAGAGCTTCGATCGAATTTTGCTTTTTACTTCACTTATTGTTAAAGAAGGAGGGGAATTTTTGTTTCGATCAGGATATTAATCTTCTGGTTCTGGTTTTATTTGTTAGGGGTGGAATTTCGTTAATTAATTAGCAAAGATAAGATTTAATTTCGCCTCAAAGTGTGTAGCAAATAATAACTATTTGTCTACTTTGTGCGAAGGAACATCAGATAGTGTGGAAGGAGAGAAGAGTTCTCAAGTCACAAGAGATCTTTTCAGTAGGTTGTGTGTTTTTGTAGGCGCATGGACTTCTATATCTACATAGCCCTTTTAACTTGAGAACGACGACGACGAGAGAGAGGCCAAAAACTCACTCTCCTTCAACCTCTCTACTCGTCTCCGTTGTGTTTGTGATATTTTGAACTTTGCTGGGCGTAGTTTTTATTAACTGCTGCACGGTACATGGAAATGTGGGCGGCACACTCTAGCTGGCAAAAGAATAAAAGTCACACACATGGGTTGGAGAGTTGCTGCGTGCATTTTCAGCCATAAATTTTCAGCCCAAAAGCCGTCGAGACACAAGAGCGAGAGCGGCCTTTGAATAATATTCAAGCTCCACTCCGGTGTTAGGAGTAGCATAACGAAATTCTTATGGCCAATTTTTCTCAGCTCGTTATTATTTTTTGTATATGAAAATAACTTTTTAAGTTGATGTAAAAAACAATATTTTCTTTTTGTTTATTTTCAATTCATAATAACAATGAGAAACGTGATCACCAATTTAAACGCCGAATTTGTGTATTGAAAGCGAGAAGCGGCTCTTGTTTCACAATTTATTTTGGGATTCTCTCTGCTCCCAACTGGCAGCGTGAAAGCTTTTCTTTTTTATTGACGCGTGGGAGGAAGGGTATCTCGTGCGATGGCTGATATTTTTCATTTCCTTTGGTTGCGACGGCGGCGGGCGAGTCTCTCGCGATATGGCATCATGTCCCCAGTCTATTAGGCAGCTCACGTACCTTACATTTGTTTCCCATAATTCTGAGATGGGTCCCCACACTGCAACCAGCAAGACACATTTCCAAAGCAGAACGGCTGGCACGCCACAGAAAATTTGATCAGCAAAGAAAAATCCGGCGACAAAAATTGAAAATTATAGTTTTATAGGAGAAATGCAATATCAAATCTTATTTAATAGAAAAAGCACTATGCACGAATTTTAATTTGACTAAAAAGAAATTAATTTAATAAATTATCTAATATTGAAATCGTAGAGTAATTTTTTTCAAAATTTATTATGATAAAAAAATGCATCATTTTTTAATTTATATTTACTCATTTTTAAAACATAAAATTAATTATTAATTATTTTGCAACCTTTTACTTATTAAAAATGTAGGCAAAAATAAAATTTAAAAAAATTAAATTATAAATTATTCAAAAAATTAAGTGTAGCATACTTATTGTTAGTTGCATTTATATTTGACAATAATTTTTAAAACAATCTCTTCTCAATACTGCATAAAATACTATAAATGTTTATTACAATCAAAATAGGTACTTCGGTACCATATATATTAAAAAAAGGGCTGGCAATAAGTTAGTATAATATTAAATGATATATTTTTTAAATCACCAAAATTATACTTTAGAGTACAATATAAAAATTCAAAACACAAAACTCGTTGTTTTCTCGCTTGCGAATGTTGAAGATTAGCGCGCGCTGCACTGGCGAAATTGTTATACGAGGGGCGCGCAAGTGCAAAAGTTTTGAGGATAATTTCTTCCCTCATCAGGACTTGCCTTTACCAAGGGAGAGCCAAAAGTCCTTCCGCTAACTGATGCCCGGCAGCAGCAGCTTAAGGGTGGGTTGACTTGTGGAAAGTGCTCGCACAGAGAGTAATTATAATGTGGTCACCGCCTGCACTTGGCATAATATCAAGCAGCATGCGGCCAAAACCTCCCCAGAATTTATGCAGAGAAAGGCAAACCCGCGCGCCGAGCAGCGCGAGAGCTTTTGCTAGCTGCGTGCGTGTGTTTTGCCTTATAAATATCTCGATCTCTGAGTGCTGGAGATGCTGTGTTGCTTGAAAATAATATCGCATTTTGAGTGACTTGTGTGAGAGGGTTCCTCTTAAACTTCTCCATAATTCTCAGAATGTTTTGTTTTTGCGGAAGAAATATTTTTCTCTAAGTTTCCTATTCAAGCAATTTTTTTGGTTTAAAATTTCCCGTACTCGAATATAAGCCAAAAAGCATTTTGTCAGCGTACACACGATGGATATTGTTTTAATTTTTTTTAAACTCGTAAACAATTAAATGTCCTTTTAAAAATTAATTCTGATCATAGATAGATAATTAATCAAAAAGTTTCAACTGGAAAAAATTCTTGTTAAATATGTTAAATTTATTTTTGGCATATATAAAGCTGCTAGAATAAAAATAACAAGTAAAAATTATGGGACAGAAACGTAGCAATTAATTCAGAATCTCATGAAATTCTCTCCGTAATGTTAATAAATAAATTGAATTATTCGCATAAATAAATAAATGAAAATTTGGTTATGCTCACACTAGAGATATCAATAAATTCCACCAAATTTAAAAACTAATAAGAGAGCTAAAACCTTTATTAAAGAAAGTGCTATGAATGGAGAATAAACCTAATTAAGATCTCCTTGATGAAAATTTTAATAAATCAAATCAGAGTGGATTGATTTTTTTTCATCTTTTATTCCTGCTCCACCACTGCGTTTGTCCCTCTCTGTATATAAAACATTAAAATTGCATGAGGAACGAGCCACATCGCACTTTTTTAGATGGCTTGAGCTATTTCTGCTTCGGTACAGGGGTGAAATTTTTGTGATCGGCAGCAGCTAGAGTGTGTGGGAGGAAAAGTGAAATGCAATTATTTTTTAGCCTCCCCTACGGAGAGAGAATCTGGTTCAATTCGTCCATGGCGCACAATTTGCCCCCTGCTATTCCCAATCTTGTCACGCTGCTGCTTCTCTCATTCAATGTCCCCATGCAGAAGCACGACAGCCGTGTGGGGCTCTAGGCCGGAAAAAACGCATCTCACATTCAAACTGGCGATAATGAGCAAATTTCTTCCGAAATCACGTTCCGTCGCATTGATTTGATAAACTTCTTCCCTCCCTACATTTTTTCGTGTCGCGGCAAATGTTGTTATAAATTATATACCTGCCTAACCATTTTACAATCCGAACGATAATAGAATATATAGAGAGAGGTCCTATTTTATTTTGAATTGAACGTGCCAGGGACGGAGGCGGCGAAATTTGAGTCGCAAAGCTTTAGTCAAAAGTAATCGTTTTAAAGCATTTAGAACGCCTTGGCTTTTTGTCCGGCCGCGCCAGAGCAGATTTCATTCACAAGCTGCTTCCCTTTGTTGGCCCACGCCGACCGGAAGCAGGTGAGCCGACAAATAACTTTTTGTTACCTCCATTCAGCGGAGGTTTTACCGTCGCTTCTTTTGGGATGGCGTAAAATTGCCTGGAAAAACACAGCAAGCCCTTGTTTGAAGTCAAAGCAGTTCCAACGAAACACCCACGGTGGCGAGAGAGAGAGATAATGGGCTCGCTAGAGACAATGATTGCGCAGGTGGAACGCTAATAAATGTAAGCGTACATGTATATAAGCGCAGCCCGCACGTACTGAAAACGGGCACGTATATATTTGTACCGGTGGCAATAAATCACACCGCCGCCGCCGCATGTATCAGAGACTATCATTGCCACTTGACGAAATAAGTGCTGCGCGCGGCAAAAATCAATGGCGCCTCGCAAATCTGGGCCTCGCGATTGTCTGCTCCCTCTCGCTCTCTCCAGAGCATTATCCCATACGTGCAAATTGCCTGCAGCCACTTGAATTACCTTTCAGGATCAATTTCAATCCGATTGACTCTAATGAAAAGATACCATGCCCCCGGTGCTCTTTTGGTTGCGCAGCTTTATAAAAAGCAGGGCAGCTTCACTTACAAATCCTCGTTCAAATCAATCCAAATTAACAATTTATTTGGACAAAAATTCTATTTTATCTGCCTTGAAAGTTAAATTGGTTTATATAAAACGAAATTTATTGCACCTCAGTTTTGAGGCTGAAGTTTATTTTGCACTTATATTTTGCAACAAATTATATGTACATATACTAACATTCAAAAATTTAAAAAATAAAATACATTCAAGAATTAAATTACCTTCAGTCTAAAATAGTAAGATTTAATTTGAATAATTTTGCATTTTTTTTTCCAAAATAGAAAAATTACATCCCTGAATTTTTCATTAACTGAAAATATTATAAATTAAAATAAAGATTATGAAAAAGGAGCTTGGTTGTTGTTACTTGTTTACTTTCATTTAAAAAAAATTATATAAATAGCTTGGGAATCCAAAGTTTCTTCACTTCCATGATCATCTCATCGAGGATAAATTTCTTCAAACAAAATAAAATTATGGAATATAAGTAATTTTAATTATTTTTTTTTTCATTAATTAAAACGTTTGAAAATTTTACTTAGATTTTTTAAATAATTTTATGACTTTCTGTCCAAGACTCAATTTTTTAAACAACAAACATCATCTTTTTTATTAATGAGTCAATGGCTAGAAAAAGTACAAAATTCACCAAGGGTTAGATTTATTCCAAACTGCTTAAATGCAAAACTAATTAAAAAAAAATTGGGATTTAGGCGATATTTGTGTCACTAACTCCGTGCAGTTTAGCATTTTTCTCCAAACACAGGCTTCGCTTGAAACCAACACATTATACTAGAGATAAGCCGTGCAAATACATTATTGCTTATTTATATTTTAATTTTTAATATAACTTTGGATCAAATGAGGCAAAAAATAAAAAATTTAATTTTCAGAATTGCGTGAAAAGGCTTCTCTTGTCAGTCAATGTCATTATGTAAAAAATAATTCCAACAAATTACAACCTTATTTAATACCCTTTATTTAATTTTATTTCAGATATAAAAAATTGAGACCTGCTGACAGTTGAAGTTTGAAATTTTAACTCTCACGCACGTGCATCCTGTTTCACACGGAAAATAATTCGTGGATCCCAAAAACCACATCCTAATGCACGTTCGTGCTGAAACTCATAGCTCACGGATGGACAGCTTTAGGGGCACACCAGCGAGTGGAGGTCTCGTACACGCTCGAGTGACAGGATATACGTTGTGAGAGGGTCAGTTTTGCTTTGAAGATTAATTTTCAAACGAAAGGTGAAAATAATATTATGGGAAATAAATTTAGTTTTTAATTTGCCATTTATTTGACCGCAGCTGATAAATTTTAATATATTCCAGAGCAATTTTGAGAAGGAATTTGTCCCAGACGAGACTATTATGAATAAACCGCGCGGATAGAATGGGAATAGGTGCTGTGTGTGGCACGCTAGGATTTTTTGTGTGTTCCTGAGAGCGAAGGTATGTAGGTAGCCTCGGGCAAAATAAGGTTTGGGCGGAACTCCAGTATTATGGCTCAGCATCCCTTTCCTTTATTCTTGCAGGTGAGGCCCGCTTGCTTTTTGTGTCGGTCGCGGCTCGGCCGGCCGGCCAGTGGGAGAAGGAGAGGTCGTGGCGCGCTCGGATCTCTTCGGCTGCTCAAGCGCCCGCCGAGCTTCCTCCTCCTCGAGCGGATGAGAGTGGAGGCCGCCTAGCGGCAGTCAGTCGGCTCTGCAGTGCCACACAGTGAACCTCGCTACTCGTGGGTGCTGCCGCAGTCAGTGCTTTAAACGCAGGACACAAACAGTGAACGCTCCGAGGCGCGATGCGCGGACAGTGCTTTCGGATTATGAGTTAAGGACTAGTGGGACTTTTGCGTTGATTAGCGGCGGCCAAAATGCAGTGCTGGCCGCTGGTTACGTGTGTGCTGGTGGTGTGCGCCGTGCAGGCCGCCGGGTGTCCGGTGGTGTGCACCTGCAAGTGGAAGGGCGGCAAGCAGACGGTCGAGTGCATCGACCATGCCCTGATTCAAATTCCGGAGGGCATCGATGCCGAAACGCAGGTGCTCGACATGTCCAACAACAACCTGCAAATTCTTCCGCGGGAAACTTTCGTGCGTGCCAATCTGCTCAACCTGCAGAAGGTATATCTGAAGAGCTGTCGGCTCGGACGGATTGACAACAACGCTTTCCGCGGCCTGACTAACCTGGTTGAACTCGACCTGAGCTCGAACCTGCTCACCAACATCCCATCGGCCACCTTCCAAGACATCCCCTTTTTGCGTGAAGTGGTGCTCAGCAATAACCCCATCCAGAAAATTGAGTCGCACGCCTTCCAGTTCATCCCCGGACTGGTCAAACTCGACCTGAGCGGCTGCGAGCTGAAAACAATCGCACCGAAGGCTTTTGATGAACTGGAGCAGTTGCAGTCGCTAAAATTGAATGATAACCGGCTGAGTGAGTTGAGACAAAAAACGGTGGACGCGCTGCAAAAACTGCAGGGCGTCGAGCTGCACAATAACCCGTGGGTGTGCGACTGCAGACTGATGCCGGTGAAAAACTGGCTAGAGAAGAAAAACATCCCCTACTCGGTGGAGCCGGTGTGCGGAAGCCCTGAGCGCCTCCGCTCGCGGTCCTTCGGAGAACTGGCCGTTGAAGACTTTGCCTGCAAGCCGGAAGTGCTTCCTGTGAGTCGGCACATTGAGGCGGCCGCCGGCGAAGACGCCAGCGTCGTCTGCCGAGTGGCCGCCGTGCCGGCGGCCACCATCAGTTGGTTCTGGAACGGCCGCCTGCTGCAGAACAACTCGGCCGTGGCCACTGCCCAGCGAGTGCTGATTTTCGAAGACGGCTCCAACGAGAAGAGCAGCTCCCTAGTCCTGATAAACGCCCAGGAAACCGAGTCGGCCGACTTTTACTGCGTGGCCGAAAACCGTGCTGGCACCGCCGAGGCCAATTTCACGCTGCACGTTGCCGTCAGACAGGCCGGAATGGCTTCGCTGGGCAGCGGCCAAATCGCGGGCCTCAGCGCCGCCCTGGTTGTGCTCATCCTCTTTATTCTGCTGCTCATCCTTCTGCTGCTGGTGCGAATCAGGCGGCTGCCGTTCTCCACTTCCGCCAAATCGCAAACGCCGCACGACGCACCAGCCAAGTCTGCGGCCGCCACGGTCACCATCGAGACGGAGCGCCGCAACGGCTCCATCATGATGAGCGACCCGGCCCTCAAATCCCCCGTCATTTGCGAAATCAAACTGCACAATTCTGCGCAAAAGCAGCTGCGTGGCCTCACGGACGTTCACTCAACGGTGGCCGTCGGCCACCTCAACCTCAACGGCCAGGCCTCGATCGACTCGTTCCGCAACCCCGACCTCATCAACGAGGCTGAACGAGCCGACGGCCCTCGAGACGATGGTGTGCTCGCTCCCCGGACGCTGTCCGGCGAGTACAGCCGCGCTCACGGAGACAGTTTGTATCCGTCCGGCCTGTGGGACGGATCGTCTGACCTCTACCTGCCGGACACCACGGACAAAACCCCCATCATAGAGGATGCCCCCTTCCCTTCAGTCGGCGGCCACCCATCGCCCTGGGACACCACCGACTACCCTGCAGACTACGGTCTTCCCATTCCTGGACACTCGCCGCCCCCGGCGCCCGCCCCCACCAACCCGCCTCCAACCGGTGCCAAAACGCTGCGAGTGTGGCAGAGAGGCACGGCGCCGGTGCTGCCGCCGGTGACGGCCCTCAAGAGGGTGCTCGGCAGCAGGAACTCTCCTGACGAGGGCTACCAAGAGGGCTGTGGCACCGACGTTTAATTTCGGACATAAAAAAAAATTGAACAATTAGTGAACCGAAAAAGAACAAAAACTGGACCCAATCAGTGCTGAGATGTGATCTAATGTTAATTGACGATTAACTTAAGCGAAAAGAATTGTTATTTTTTTATCGTAAAAAAAATCTTACGTAGTTGGAGAGTGACGTGCGTGTGCAAAAATTGTTGAAATTGTGTATAATTATATACCACGCGAATGTAGACGCCCTTCCTTCTCTCCGCTGTTATTCGGTGCTCGCGCGAGAGCACCCCTTTTTCCCGAGTGAGTGAAGATTTGGATTAACCTGAGTGACTGTGAATATAATTAATGCGCTCCGCAAAAAGTGGCACCGAAGCGAGCGGTGCCCGATCAGCTTGATTTCAGCAAATCCCTCTCCCACACGCGATTGCCGGGGAGAATTGACATATTCGTGCGCGATGCATGGGTGATAATGACGAACGTGTTTTGGCCGTCGGGCTCTGGAGATTTTGCATCGAGCATAGCCAACAAAATAACCCATTTTCCACTTGACGCCACTTTTATACCTTTCACACTTTTAATTTGCAAATTGAATCGTAGATGTAAAAAAAAATACTCCAAAAAGCGGAATTGATTTTCCTACGCAGACTGCCAAAACATGCCCATAATTGTTGCCTGAAGTAGAAAAATTTGTCATAAAAGCCAAGTCAAGATGTATAAAAAAAAAATATAATGTAAAATAATCACCCTCCCTTTCCCTGAAATACTCGAAGTCGTTTTCCACAAAATATCACAGACGGGCCACCAAACGTTTTGCAATTAATTTCATGTTTCATTGTGCGCAATTTTATTTTCCAGAAAAATTATCATAAACAAAATGATGTCACACTGCTTACTGTAATTATTAATTAACAATGTGCAGAGTAACAATTCATTGTTGACAGTCAAGAAAAGAAGTCAGTGTAAAACAATGTACGATTTTATTTCCCACAACAGAGATAAAAATGAAATGCGGGCAGCCCCGTCATACTGGTGCATGTTTATGTTTAGAGGGGGGCCTGCGTGCAAACATGATTATTCAGTGTTTTAAGTGGAAATAATGTGAAATGAGAGCGCAAAGAAACTTTAAACTTCCAACAAGCTACAAACCAAAGCATGCAAAGTTTCGTTTAATGTCTTTTTGTATTTCAACAACTGCTGCATTATTTTGTAATTTATTATTTGAATATACCTAAATTTTTGCGTGGAATTGCCAGAACAGTAAAGATGTAATAATTTTTAAAAATTATGCTTTCCGAATAAAAGAGGAGTTTTTATTAATTGATTTCATTTTGTATGGTTTAATGCCATAATTAATTTTAGTCTTAATTCCTCTTTTTTCTGTTGGCTATACAAATTCGGTTGTTCTCAATTTTTCATTGAAAGAAACAGCAAGCGCAAATGGGCCTTTTAATTTTTGAATTTATGCACGTAATGTTCTTTGTGACTGAATTTTGGCTCGTCCATTTCTGATTAGCTGTTAAGGCGGACTACTTGGGAAAAGAGACAAAGTGATGTGAACTGACAAAACTTAAATAATTACATACTGATTGTAAAAACTTCGTGACGCGATTTATGCAATTACTATGATAATGATGAGCTATAATATATATTTGGAAAATATGTAAAAATAATTACCCTGCTTTTATTTTATCTCAATGCACCCAAAATTGAAAAATTTAATACTAAAAAAATTAAAAAATGAACAATGGTTCTTAAATTTTATGAAATAATTTGATCAAAAGTAAATTAATTTAACAAAAAAATATACAATATTAAGGTTGACTGCTTGATTGCAATTCATTGGAATTAGCTTTCAGAGAAATCTTCATAGAAAAGTTCTTGAGAATAAAGGCCCACTTTTGATTCATTCTTTTTCTTCGAAAGGTTGCTTTTTGTGCACAATGGTTGCATTCGCGGGCTGACGCTTCTTTATTTCATTGCCGGTGAGCATCTCCGAAGAAAAGAGGCGCAAGCAGTGAGAAAAATTCAGTTGGTTACGGTCCGACGCATCTCTTCTCGCTTCCAAGGCTTCTTTGCCGCTGCACTCGAATAGAATGAGAAAAAGAAAAGACAGCGGTGAGCATCTACGGCGGGGCACAATCTCCTCGGCGCGCACAGGACGATACATTCATTATGCGACGGCGGCGGATAAAAAATCGAATGTAATTTTTTACCTCCCCACCGCATTTATATATACTTTTATATTTTATAAAATACGAGACGGCGCGCATATGCAGAGGCGGACAAAGTTTCCAGCCCGTCGTCTTGTCTTTCTTTCTCTCCTCTTTGTAAGCAACTACGCCCTGGCTGACTGCCGTGACTACGCCCCATATTCCGCCTCCAGGAGGCATTCCTGGTGAGGCCTCCACCTGGCTGACGTCACTCTAAACCCATTCAGATTATGTTTTCTTACTCGGCACCAGCCCATCCGTATAATCATCATCTCGTCGCAAACTGGTTTTCCAATTCGGTCGCTCTGCATTGTATTTTAGACCCACTCTCCATATATTAAAATGTTAATTGCTCGCCGATTTAATTGTCGAGCAAGTAATAAGTACGTGCAGAGGCGAATCCCCTCGCACGCAGCACCGATATTTCATACATCATGACCGCTCGGTTAATTACTTTTTGGTTTAATTTGCATACATTTTCCATTACCGCACTACAACAGTCATTTTGGCTCTTTTCTCTTTTTTTATGCGAAGCCTTTCAATTTTCAAAAGATTTTATTCACCGAGAGTGCGTTACACCCATAACCGTTCCATACCAATCGAAAAAAAAAACTCACACATGCGGGGACTGCGGGGCCATTTACGCGGTTATACAATCAATTTGCAAGCGAAATTTCTGGCCGCACACCCGCTGGCAGATCAATCATCCTCGTGGACGTTCAATTTTCCGGAAAATAGCCTTTTGGCTCAAACGCCGACTGTAAAAATATCCATTATACCCTTTACCTAATGTAACCAGTTCGGTCGGAGGTTAACTTTGAACTTAAATGAGACTGCGGGTCGTTTTATATTAATGCTAGTGTGTCGTGGGGCGTAATTTAAAAGGCTCCACTTTCTTCGGAACTGCTGAGGGTTTTCTGGGATTTTAATGGAGCCATTTATACGACGCTTAACATTTTCAATTTCGCGGCAGTTCTCGTCTGCTTTTTACAGTCGCAGAGCCAGCTGCGTTAAATTTACAATTGGGCAACGTGTGTGCGAGATTTGGAGAGAGAATTATTAGCAACCGCCGGTAATAAATATCAATCCCATAATAGTTATAACGCCGAAACTCCCCGAAGTATTTTAAATAATTTATAAAGTTTAACACCGTGCGCGCTTCCTTTCCACCGCTCGGCGTCCCAAGACTGCTACAAGTTACACACATTTGGGTAGCTCGGGGAATTAAAAAAGCGGCTCCTTTCACCGCATAAAAAGTTCGGCGCCTCCTTTACTTCTTCTTCTTCTTCTCGTCGGCGCCAAACAGAAGCATCTCTTATTTCCTGGCGCGCGTATTTACGCGTCTGCTCTGTGCGTTCTCCGCCTTAGAGGGCCGCAGAGCAAATTCCCCTATTGCGCATTAAAGTGGATGCTGCATTTGGCAGGCTCCAAAAAACTTTTAGTGGTTTAATAATGCTGGCTTTATGAGAGAGCCACACGACGGACGGAATTTGCTGTCATTTTACCCCGGAATCGTCCTCTCGCTGGGGACTTTGTTTACATTTTTTTAATTGCCTTTTGTGGGGCAACCGCAAATGTTGCGGCAGCTCACTTTCGCAGACGGTGGCGATTTTTTGCGTGTGCGATAATTTAGTCTGAATTCTTGACTAGCCAGAGCAATTAGTATACACTTGCAAAAAAACGTGTCTACTCTGTGTAATTGTGCTTCTTCTCGTCTGTTTTTGGGAAAGATAAATTGCACGTCAACGTGAGTTACACTTTCGTTAGCAAAAATTTTCATGTATAATTACTTCAAGTCCAGAGTGAAACAAAATTTTCTTGCGTTAGCTGGATGAAATTTATAATGTAAAGCAGGATAAATTTATGTGATTTAAAACTTATGTTCATATATATGTTTGACGATATATTGAAAAGTGAATTAAAAAAATAATAATGATATCAAATTTGAAGGAGCTGATATTTCATGAATAACTTGAATAGCTCTTTATCTTATAATGCACAAGTAAGACTTTTAGTTTCTGCAGCAGACGTGATTCACTTTTAGTCGATTCCTAGTTTAGGCGTTAAGGTTGACGGGTGTTCCTGCAACATAGAGAATTTAAAAACATTTATCATGTATATTCTTCTTGATAAATAATAAAAAAATTTAAAGTCCTACACAATAAAAATGAACCACTTTGAAGTTTCTGAGCTAAACAAATGATGATTTTATATATTTTATGTTATAAAATACTATAAATAAGTTAAATAGTTTTAAAGGGAGATATAGGACATTTCTGAAAAATTCCGTAGAAATCAGGATAAAAATAGAAAAACTAAATTAAATTTGATTTTTGCTGTTCATTAATTCTAAACTATAATTAACATGTAAAAATGCATTAGTGTTTATTCCTCTCTGCTTAGGCAGATAATGGTTTGTATGGTTAATGCGTCGCACACTTAATCTGTATATAACCACAAAGTGCTTTCTATTAAGCCGCGGCGGTCATTAATAACATTAATTTACAACACATGTGTGCTGACTTTAAAAAATTTAAAAATATAGCGATGAAAATCGGAAAAACGTCTGGCCCTAAATCTGGAAACGGCTATTAAAAAATAATTTCTCACAATTTATGAGGGATGTGTATATTTTTAGTTAAAAATTTTACCCGAAAAAAGCGTTGGCCACTTCCCAAAGAGTTGTACACATGCATTAATCCCACTTGACAGGCTCGTAAATCGTTGGACGGGCCGCGCTCGTTTTTAAAACGCCATAAAAATCAAACCCGTCAAATTCGGGGGTTGATCGCCGTGCGCTCTGTCAACCCGCAGCAACTCTCTCGCGAGCATTTTCGTCGGCATGCATTAGGAGCCGCAGCGTTGCGTGCTTGGGGGTGATTGTTGCGGCCGTGAGATGCGAGCTAGACTTGTCGAGTGCGCGCCTCCCAAATTTCTATAATTAGGCCCCACACCCCCTCGCGAGGAGAACCGTTTTCGCGCATAATTCCCGGCTTACTTTGCTCTGCCGAGTGGATCGGGCTCAAATTTAATTGACCCAGTTCAGCGGCATGATTTATTAACAGTCAGCGCTCCGTATATAAGCATATCAGCGCGAAAGGGCGCTGCAGCGCTAATACAAGGGCCGAAACGCCCGCCCGCCTGCTCGGTGGTGGTGTGGCGGCGCGGCTCAAATTGATTAATGCATTCAAGGGCACTGCCCTGCAGCCAATTTCCCAGACCGCCCTTATTTTAATACACACGCCGCTGGCGCATTCTTGGCCGCGGCAAAAAATTCTACCAAGATTCGGGTCGCTTTTTCTCGGAATGCAATCAACTAATGTGCGCGCTGCTCAACGTTTGGCCCCTCTATTTACCACACGTTGTTTTTTTTTTATCAGAAAGTAAATTTGTATAAAAAAATTATATCTGCAAAATCCTTTTTGAATTATTAATTCAGGAAAATGAAGCATTAAAGATATATGAATTTAGTTATCCCATTGGTTCTTCGCTTATTATATTTTTTGATCAATATTTACTTTGAAAAATGTGTACGTTCTTCAATATTCACGTAAAATATAACATAGAAAATAACAAAGTTGCTGACATAATTATATTCATTAGAGGGAGGGGAGGACTGGGGACCCTCCATTCAAATTTCATGACGGGTTGTTAAGTTGATTAAAAAAATTCACACGTTCTGTGGGTGATCTGCGTGGTTTCTGTCAAAGGAAAGTTACATAGCGTAAATATTTTATTGTATTCAATAATTTATCCTTCTCGTGCAATTAATTTAAAAAAAAGTATGGTCAGATTGTTTTGGAGAAGCATAATGTATTTGTTTTAAAATTTTAACTGAAAGTTATTAAATAAAAAAGTATTGATTTATCATAATATTATAATACCAACGATACCAATATTATATTTTTTAAAGATTATTAATTTTTTTATTTAATATACAATATTTTTATTTTTTTTTTTTTTGCAAACAATTTTTAATTTAATGAGAACAAGTTCTCACTAAGTAAGGAATTTAACACATTAAATTTGCATTTTTAAATTTTATGTTGATGAACTTGCTCAGATTTAACTAACCCATAAATTAAGAAATTTTTATATTATGCAACTTGTCGTGGATAATTTTTGAGTTAATGTTTTTGAAATTTTGGCTGTTCAAATGAGAGAAGATCAGAAAACAATGTTGAATTCTAATTAATAGAAAAGTGTTAAGAACTTCTGAACCTGCTGAAGACAATTTGACGGGTGCAGTTGAAGTTAAAATTGTTGCGGCTTTGCCCGCATATACTGACTTGTATAGAAACAAAATAAAGGTTTAAAGCGCCGGAGAAAAGTTTTGACTGCGGTGGTGGGCAAGGGCAATTGAAAAGGAATGGAGCTGGCACCGGCAGGCCACAGAGCTCTGCGTGGGGCTTCCTTGGCTAATTTGCATTGAATGGTAGTGGCAGCACC